GCTTGAAACTGATAGGAAAGCCAGCCAGCATTCCTGTCAGGGAAGAGACAGGTTCCAGCCAGCCTCTACTTGTTTACATCTTCCTGGGGCCCTAACTCCTCCCAGGAAATTTGTCTTCCAGAAACCTAAAGCAGTCAGGTTTAACCCCAACTTTTATCCACAAATACATTCCACCATAAACAAGCTGGGGCTGCACTTACCAAATCTAATGGGTAATAATGTCAGTGCTCATCTCATGCTGCAGCAGACACCAAGCTCTGTCAGAAATGGTGTGTATGTGCACACACACACACACATACATATACATACATGACATATACATACTACACACACACCACACATACACACATGACACATATACTCCACACACACACACCACACATACAACACATACACACCATACACACTTACCCTACACACACATACACATGACACACAGCACACACACACTCCCCACACACATACACATGACACACATACACAACACCCCCCACACACACAAGGTCTCATGGGGAAACAACCTATTGGTTCTGAAGTCAGTCAGGTAGAAAGGCAGGCAGATCTGCTGAACCCTAAAATCAGCGATTTAACTATGCAGCCTATAAAGTAAATTTATGCTTAATGCATTACCTACAGAGTTAATATGAAAAATTTTAAAGTCAGTGCTAGGAGATGGCTCAGAGGGTTAAGGCCTGAACACCTGAGTTTAATCCCTGAACCATAAAGGTGGAAGGAGAGAGGTGACTCCACAAAGTTCTCCTCTGACTTCCATATGCATGCCATGGCATACACGTACACACATCACACAAACACTATGGTATTTTTTTATTTTTAACTATAAGAATATGCAATTTAGCTGGGCATGGTGGTACTTACTGTTAATCCCAGCACTCTGGAGAGAGGCAGGCAGATCTCTGTGAGATTGAGATCAGCCTGGTCTGCAGAGCAAGCTCCAGGCCAAGTTAGATCTATACAATGTGTATCAATACATACATACATACATACATACATACATACATACAATAAAACATAAAACTACAATTTACTAAAATTAAATGTATTTTGTAAGCTAAACATATATAGACTGTTATTTACTTAAAGGTATTCCTTGAAAATCAAAGATCAACTGATTTTATTTTCTTTAAGGTAAGGTATCATGTGACTCGGAGCTGGCCACTAATTCTCTGAGTACCCAAGGATACTTGAGCTTCTGATCCCCTTGCCTTCACCTCCCAAGTTCTGGGATTTCAGGACAGCATCACCTGCCCTTCTATAAGATAATTCTTTTTGCAATATGCTATCTGACACCATGCCACACCCAAAAGCCCATATAAACGCAAAAAAAGGAGCCAGGCATTGTGGTTGACGCCTATAATTCCAGGAATCTGAGAGGTCAAGACAAGAGAGGCTAAAGTAAGAGAATGTCCCAAGTCTAATGCTAGCCTGAGCTACATTGTGAATTCAAGACCAGCCTGGGCTCATGCTATGTATAGCAAGACCAGCAAGACCCTAAAACACCCTCTCCCTTCCAAAAACAGAAAAAAAACGGAGACGGGGGAATGTCAATCCATTTCTGATATTTCTCACCTTTCCCTCACCAAGCCATGACTAGCCCTCTCTCCATTACAGTCTGCTTTTTAAAAGGGCTCCTAAGCCAGAGAGAGACATCTCTCCTCTCGATTCCTCTGTAGTTTGTAGGCTGTGAGTTTTATGTCAACCTGAGTGTCTGGGAGGAGGAAACCTCAACTGAGAAAATGCCTTAGGAAGACCTGCAGGGCTCTTTCTCATTTAGGGATTGATGGGAGAGAGCCCAGCCCATTGTAGGCGGTGCCATCCCTGGACGAGTGGTCCTCAATTCTATAAGAAAGCCAGTAAGCAATACCCTTCGTAGCTTCTGCATCCATTCCTGCTTCCAGGTTCCTGCTCTGTTTGAGTTCTGGTCCTGACTTCCTTTAATAAAGGATAGTGATATGGAAATGTAAGTCAAGTAAACCCTTTCCTCACCAACTTGCTTTTTGGTCATGGTGTTTCATTACTTTTACAGAAACCCTGACTAAGACAAGTTAGTACAGAAGTGAGATTTTGCTGTGACAGACCTGACCATGTTGCTTTGGGGGTAATTGTGGAAGGACTTTGGGACTTTATACAAGAAAAGGATTTGAACGTTCAGTGCTTGGTGAGTTCTTCTGTGGAGGCAATATTGAGGGCAAGACAGACGATAAAGGCCTTGTTATGATCAAAAAAAATGTGGTGGTGGGGATACCTTTGGTCGACCCGTGCTGTGCCAAGGTGTATCCCTGAGAAATTAGGTCACACAACAGATCTGGTATCAGAGGTATATCGGGGCAATGAAAACCTAGGGTGGGGAGATAGAGACAGAGGCATGTGCACAGAGAGGGAGAGGAGAGAGACAGAGAGAGAGAGAGAGAGAGAGAGGCAGACAGAGAGAGAGAGAGGCAGACAGAGAGAGAGAGAGAGAGAGAGAGGCAGACAGAGAGAGAGAAAGAGAACAGAGAGAGAGAGAGAATAGAGAGAGAACTGGGGTGGCCTGTACACTAACAGGCCTATCTTGTGAAGTTTCAGAGGGAAGTTTAAAAGACTCTATCGGGTCCATTTATTATTTTGAATTAAGATCCTGTGGTTCTGGATAGGTGGGACTGAAGAATCAGCGATGATTAACAAGATACCAGGACCACCTTTGCTTTGCTGGGATGCTGGATGCTGCTCAGCCAGAGCTAAAACGTTAGCACTGATTAAGATGAGACCAGTGTTGCTAAGGTGAAATCTGTGAAGTGTTTCCTGACAGTCAGCACAACCAGAGGCGGACAAGGTTGCCTCCTCTCATGCTGGCAGCTAATAAGAGTGACCCAGGTAGTGTGTATTTTGAAGGGATGAAGGGTCATGGAGATCAGCTGAGGCTTGGCACTATGAGAGACCAAGAGTGGCCACTGGTGAAGGCGCAGTCTCAGTAGCTATTCAAGACCCCAGATTGGAGGGGTCATGCGAAGGATTTGAGGCTTGGCAGCATGAAGAGAGCCTATGAGAGGCTATTGGTGAAAGTGCAGCCCGGTTGCAGAAGACCCTAGTATTTTGGAAAAACTGGTTCAATGGGATGATGACCAAAGCAGCAGCAGCAGTGGAGTAGAGTCAGAAGACAAGGTGTTTGTGATGGAGATGGTGGGGCCAGAGATGGAGGAGCCCAGAAGATTGATCGCCAGTGAATCCCAGACATTGGATGCTGAGGTATTTACGCCTTTGATTAACCTTTGGTTTTGCTTTGACTTGATTGTGGTGACTGTTTCCTGATTCGTCCCTCTTTTTTTTTGGTTTTTTCGAGACAGGGTTTCTCTGTGTAGTTCTGGCTGTCCTGGAACTCACTCTGTAGACCAGGCTGGCCTCGAACTCAGAAATCCAAGTGCTGGGATTAAAGGCATGCACCACCACCGCCCGGCGATTCTTCCCTCTTGAAGTAAGAAAGAAAGTATTTAATTTTTATTTTACCGGCCCACAGTTGAGTTAAAATTTTAAAAGACTTTGAAAGTAGACATTGGCTACTTTAAAGAGAATTAATTTTAATGTGTTCAAATTTGTAAGGCCTACTGGATTTAAAGTTTTTTTATATTTTTAATGTGAGATTTGGGGGGATGAATGAGAAGAAAAGGTTGTGGCTTAATAGTGATGTGCTTGTGTGTCAAGCTGGCAAGGAGTCAGTTGGACTGGATGGTTTTCTGTCAGCTTAAGCTAAAATCGTCTGAGATGAAGAAACCCTAATTAAGAAAATGCCTCCATAAGATCTGTTGTAGGCAAGCCTGTAGGGTATTTTCTTATTTAGTGATTGGGGAGGGCCCAGCATTGTGGGTGGTGTCATCTCTTGGTCCTGAGCTCTGAGAAAGCAGAATGAGTAAGCCAGTAAGCAGCACCCCCAAAGCCATGGATTGCATCAGCTCCTGCCTCTAAGTTTCTAGCCTGTGTAAGTTCCTGTCCTGACTTCTTTGATGATAAACAATGATATGGAAATATAAATCAAATAAACCCTTTTCTACCTAACATGCCTTTTGGATATGGTGCTTCACTGAAGCAACAGAAATCCTAAGACATTCTGTAAGTATCTTATAATAAAACTTGGTTTCTTTTATAAAAACACTTATGAGGGGCTTAGAGACATGGCTCAGCAGTTAAGAGCACTTTCTGTTTTTTGCAGTGGACAAGGGTTCTTAGCATCCACATGACAGCTCACAACTGTCCTGGGGATCTGATTCCCTCCTCTGGCCTCTGAGGACACGAGCCTCCCATGTGGTGCACAGACATGCATACAGGTTAACACTCATACATATCAAAAAATAAACAAAAACCCATAAACTTATGAATGGGGGAAGGACTGAAAAAAACAAAAACCCAAAACCTGTATAAGAATGTTGACTATTACATTCCTAACAGCCTCAAATTGAAATAACCCAAAAGGATAAACTGTGGAATAATATTCGTGGCACACAAAGTAATGGTGAAAACAATGAGCCTCTCTCCCACTCTCCCTTTCCCCTTCTCCTGTCCCTGCCCCCCTCCTATTTGATCTCTTGGTTCCTAAGCGGCAAGCAGAAGGAAATGAAGTTAGTAGAATTTCCACCTAAATTCTATAACAGCTCCTAGACAAAAACTAAAAGTTGGCTCCTGGTGCGATTTTCACAGGTAAACATACATCCCTCACCAACTTAATGAGACTTTTGCTTGGTGCAAAGCGTCTTTACACTTAGGGGATTGTCAGTTTGAGATTGTGGATTTTGATATTAGGTCACTGGCTGGTGTCTAGTACTAAGAGTTCCTGTCAACACAGAGACGGGCAACTTCCCTCCATTTCCTAACAGCCAGGGTAAGAGTCCTCAGTACAAGGCAGGTACTCGGAGAGGCATAGCGCATGCGTGCTGAGCCAAAGGGCCACTTCTCTCTCAGGCCCCGCCCCCAAAGCGGCGTCCCGCCCCCTGAGCGGTACCCCGCCCTCTGAACGGCATCCCGCCCCCGGAACCTGGTGCGTCTTCTACAGCTGTGTCGCTATGGAAACGACTACTGCTGCTTTCTTTCCCGTGGCCATAAACGGTATGGCGGCTGGGGAGCCACGGGATAAAGGCGGCTACTATTTCAGATTCCTGCCTCAGAGAACCTTCTCGTCCCTGAGCTCCCGGGAGATCACCAGCCGGCTCCGCCAGTGGTGAGGGCCGAGGGGCGGAAGTGGCCATGCAGCAGGCTTAGGTCGGTGGGCTGGGGCCTTGGCTCGGCGCTCGCGTCCTGGGGTTCTTCTCTCCGTGTTCGTGCTCGTGTTCGGGGACTCGGTTCTGCGCTCCCTGAACTCCGGCCAGGACCCACTGACTTTTCCCCCTCTACTAGGTCCATGCTGGGCAGAATCCAGGCGCAGGCGTTCAACTTTGACCGGACGTTCCAGCCCTACCAAAAGGATGATTTTGTCATGGTTGGTATGCCGGGCCGGGGGGGGGGGTCTTTTGATGTTCTTGGGAACACTCCATGACGTGTTCTTAGAGTTTGGGAGTAATAAAAAGTGCAGGTTGGGTTTTTTGTTTGTTTGGTTTGGTTTGGTTTCTTAGGGGGCTTTTTGAGACAGTGACTCATTCTGTAGACCAGACTAGCCTGGCATTCACTGGGATCTCTTGCCCCTGTCATCCAAGTGCCACCTTGCCCACCTTGCCAATATCTTTTACCTACCTTCGGGATTCTGCCTTTGATAACTGTACAAATCTGTAGTTATTTTAGACAGTCTCACTGTGTAATTCTTGATGGCTCTGAACTCGTTCATCACTCATCGTCAGCATCCCCAGAGCTGAAATACAAGCACGTGTTACCGATTTTGACTGAAAATTGTAAGGGATTTTTTTTTTTTAACAAGCACATCTTGTTTTTAAATACTATTACCCGGCTTCACCCCTGACTTTATTATGCTTAACTCCAAATATTTCTGGTTTCTGAAAATCGCATTCACCCTGAGAAGTAGGCATCAGGCTCCAGCAGAGTGCCCGGACAGGATTTCTTCCAAAGGTTTTGAGCAATGGCCTGTTTGAAGAAGCCTTTAGCTAGAAGGGAATTCTTTAAAGAAGGCAAAGTTCATTCAAAGGTGTGAGTTTTTGATGCCCATCATAAAAACCAAGCCCCATCGTCGTCAGTGTTGCCTCCTACCCAACAGTAGGTAAAGTGTTCAGGTTTGTGAAGTGGCCTTCATTCCTTGCCATTGTCCTCTGAGCGTTGACTTCATAGTTGGCATGTAATCTACTCATTGTGACACTTTCTGAAGGCCCATGTGTGCTAGGAATATAGCAATATAGCTTCCTCAAAAGCTAGAGATAAAAACCTCTGAAGAATGTCTTGGGCCCTCACCAGCAAATAACATCAGTTATCTTACCCACCTCTGTGAGTGAGGAGGACAGGCAAACAGTCCATCCGATTGTCCCTAACTCCACAGTCACAATCGGACTGGCTCACTCCCGTGAAACCTGAAGAGGTGAATCCTCGCCTACTTCTTGCTCCAGCTGACTGGCTTCCTATAGTCCCTTGTCATGATCCTGTCTCTTCTAAAAACACCTGTGACTCTGAATCAGAGGTCTTTCCTATACCAGGATGACATTAACATCTACAATGACCTTCTTTCTGAGCAAACTTTGAGGTTAAAGAAAGGACATGAATTCTGAGCTACATTTTCCGATCTGTTTTTCCATAACAGGGCAAATTGGTCTCATAGTCCATTTCCCTTTATCTGTGGTAGGGTTTGTTTGTTTGTTTTTAGGTTTTCGAGACAGGGTTTCTCTGTGTAGCCCTGGCTGTCCTGGAACTCACACTCTGTAGACCAGGCTGGCCTCGAACTCCGCCTGCCACTGCCTCTCAAGTGCTGGGATTAAAGGCGTGCGCCACCACTCCCCGGCTCTGTGGTAGGGTTTTAATGCCATATTGTGACTTAGCTAGTCATGGATAGATTTTGATAATTTACCAGTACTGACCCTCTACTAATTTTTAAGATCAGAATTTTGAAGTGCTATGATTTTTTTTCTTTTTATTTATTTATATTTGAGACACGGTTTCACTGTGTGGCCCTGGCTGGCCTCAAACTCACAGAGATCTTATCTGCCTGTCCAAGTGCTGGGACTAAAGGTGTGTGCCACCACAACCAGTGTTTTTCTTTGATACTTTTTGTTGTCTCCATATATAACATTGAATGCACCTGTTTATACAGTAAGTACTTGTTAATACTTTCTTGATCTCACTTGGCAGTTGTTAAGATCTCATCCCAGATGATAAGGCACACACAGTTTCAACCAATCAGTCTCCACATCATCCTGAAGTAGTGTTCCAATAGATCTTGGTAGAAACTGTCCTGGGCACAGAGGGATGGGTCAGCTGATGGATCATGATAGAAGGTATACATTTCCTTTCCCTTCTTCCTTTGGTTGCTCAGAGTTCTTCAATGGGCTCAGTATTCATCCATAAAACTCAACAGATTTCTTTCCATAATTCCAAGCATTTCTTTCTAATTTTAAAGTTCCTCTTGGGCTAGGGATGCAGCTGAATTTGTAGAGTATTGGTTTAACATGCATAAGGCCCTGGGGTTCATCCCAGCACTACATACACCAGGCACAGTGCCATATACCTATAATCTCAACACTGGGAAGGATGGAGGTAAGTGGATCTGTTCAAGATCATTTTTGGCCCAGGCTAGCTCAAAGCCAAATAAAGTAAGGCTCATATTTAAGCTACTGGGGATCTGCACATGGTGACACAGCCTATAATTCCAGCTCTTTGAGCTAGTCTTAGGGTTACTCTAAAATGAGTGCTTGCTGAGGTCCTCATTTTCCACTAACCCTGAAAATGGCTCAGAAGTACTTAGGAGGAGACTTACGGATGAGATGAGATGCTTAAAGGAGGGGTAGACGAAGGAAGTGCTGGCTGAATCCCAGGGTTCTCACAAAGTTGACTAGAGTAGCTGACTTTACTAAACACATAAAAGATGGGAGAGTAAATGACGAAATTAAGTTTAATGTTAGGCATGTTCAGCTCCAAGATGCATGCAGGTGGCTGTCTCCTAGCTCATTGGCTGTAATGTTACTTCAGGGTCTCAAGAGAACACCATCAGATTAACAGGTAGAGCTCAGAGGCTCACCCTGCTGTGCCAGATAATGAGTTTTCCAAGTAAACAGTGACAAGCCTTATTTTTCAAAACGTTGCCTAGAGGCCTGCACAGGCTCCTGTGTCTACCTCAGGAACAGAATTTAGGCTCGTGGCTACATCCTGTTCAATCCTAGCAGATTTAGATGAGGCATACCAGCTCAAAATTCCTTAAGGAAGAGAAGGCCTGGTAAGGCAGCAGTCAGTCCGACACTGCATTCACAGGACTATGAGCTGAACTTGTAGCTCAGTGCAGCACCTACCTAGCAGGGGCAGGCCCTGGGTTCAACTCCCATTACAGGGAGGAGAATGACAGATACTTTTTCATGTTACAAAACACATTTATTTAATCTTTACGTGCATTTTGACATCAGTACCTTTGTTACTGCAAACCAGCTTATGAGTCAGCTAATCTCTTTGAAGAGAACATCATTTTACTAAAGTTGACATTTAGGAAGCCCCTGCAGATGCCTTGATGTCAATTCTGTAGCCAACAAAACCATTTACACATATACAGACCCCTTCTTTCTGTTTTTAAATGTGTTTTTAGAGATACAGTTGTAATTTCAATTTAAAAAAAAAAAACAAAGCCCCTTGCTTTGATTTAATAAGGGGCCTTTATAAGAATATTTCAGGAGGCTGGAGAGATGGCTGAGCATTAAGAGCACTTGCTGTTATTGCATAGGACCCAGCCTTGGTTCCCAGCACCCACATGGTGGTCACCTGCAGTTCCAGAGGTTACAGTGCTCTCTTCTGGTCCCCATACCTAAGGTACATTTATGCATGCTGGCCTAAACCACTAAACAAATAAAAATAAGTCTTTTTATAAAATCTATTTTAAAAACACACACACACATTTCAATTGGCTCCGAATCAATTCCTGCAAGTCTACTTCTGTTTATGATGTCTAAACAGGATTAAAGGAACTCCCAGTTTTTGAGACAGGCTGGCCTCATACTCTCCAGCCTCCTGCTGAAGACTATAAGCACATGTCCTCCTAGCTACTTGACTTAATTTCTTTTAATTAAAAAAAAATTCTAGTATTGTCTCTCTGTCTCTGTCTCTCTCTGTCTCTCTCTGTCTCTCTCTCTCTCTCTCTCTCTCCCTCCCCTTCCCCTCTCTTTCTTCCCCCTCTCTCTGTGCACACGTGTGTGTGTTTTATGTGCATGAGTGAGATTGTACCATAGTACACATGTGGAAGCCAAAAGGCAACTTTGAGAGTCAGTTTTTTTCTCCCACTCCATAGCACCTGGATTGGACTCAGATCCTAAGGCCTGTGCTGTTTTCTCTTCTGAACCATCTCACTGTCCCTTGGTTTCATTTCTTTTCTTTCTTTAAAAAAGAAAATTGAGTAACCTTTTTCTTGATTTAAAGTTCTTCTAGCCAGTGTGATGCTACACATCTTTAACTCAACATTTGAAAGGTAAGGGCCTCCAGAGTGCAAGGTTATCCTTGGATATGTAACAGGTTGCAAGTGTGTACAAGGCTAGCCTGGATACATGAGACACCCTATCTCAAAAAAAAAAAAAATAGTTCAAGCTGGACATAATGGCTCATCCCTGTGCTACTAGCACACAGTGTCGACGCTAGAGGATTAAGGTTTTGAGGGAAACTTTGGACAACACAACTAATTCAACGCTGGCCTGAGGTACAGAAGGAGACCTTGTCAAAAAAAAGCCAAGGGCTGAGAACAAGGCCCTGGGTTTGATGTCTAATACTTTTCTTCTTCTTCTTCTTTTTTCAAGACAGTTTCTCTGTGTAGCCCTGGCTGTCCTGGAACTCACTCTGTAGACCAGGCTGGCCTCGAACTCAGAAATCCGCCTGCCTCTGCCTCCCAAGTGCTGGGATTAAAGGCGTGCGCCACCACCACCCGGTGTCTAATACCTTTCTTAAGAAGGCAGTGAGTAAAGCAGAGCATTTCTTCTTACTTGGTATCAAATGGTATTTTATTAATTTTGTTCTAACATGCTCCCTTGCAATTTGTATTTTAGGCTTTTTTCAAAGACCCAAATGTTATTCCAAATTTGCAGTTACTTTCAGATTCTTCTGGACAGTGGACTACACTAGGTAAAGATTTTTATATTTTAATTTCCAAGTTACTATTTTAATAAAATTTTGCCTCATCAATTATCACTAGTGATTTGTATCACTAAAGTACAAATTGTAGCATCATGATAATGTGTGACCAGCTGTGTCAGGCCTTCCCTGCATCTCTGTCCTGGGAGTCTCTTGCTATCATCCTGGCAGAACACATCAGAAAAATTTTCTCTTAGTCGTTTAGAAAAATATGCATTGTATATTTTATATTTAAATATTCTGCTACAGGCAAGTCACATTGATATGAGTAAGAGGAAACATGCACTTCTGGAATTCATACATTAAGTGGGGGCATGTTGAGTGATACATGAAGATCTGGGTTCCATCCCCAGCGTAACAAAGTCAGGTGTAGTTGTACACACCTGCAACACCTGTAATCCCAACACTGGGGAGATAGAGCAGCAGGATGAGAAGTTTAAGGCCATCCTCTGATACATGGCCAATATAAGGAGAAGGATGGAAGGAAAGAAAGATGGTTCACCAGTTAGGAAATATAATGCCCTTCCAGGGGACCTGAGTTCACTTCCTAGCACCCATATCCAGCATAACACTATTGTCTATGACTCTAGCTCCAGGGCGTCCAGGACCTGTAGCCTCCATAGTACCTGTGTACACATGTACACACCCCCACATGGACTTATACACACTCGTGTAATTAAAGATCTTGAAAGAGTTAGTGTTCCAGGTTTTTCCATAGAAGTGAGAATGTGGTGAGGGAGATGGTCAGGTCAACCCAGAGAAGAAGGCTCAGGACAGTACCCACTGATGGGAAGGCCTGGGCAGAGCACTGCCACAGTTCTCATGGGGTTCTGACATTAGTTGGCTGCCCTGGAATGTTTTAGAATAATTACAAATAATAGAGAAATGACTTCTTAAAGGGGGACATTTCTCCAGATAATGCTAATAAGACACTAAAACAGTCCTGAGAAATTTTACTTTTAAAGTGTGTTTGTGTGTTTGGGTGTGCTCATGCGCACACATGCCTGTGCTCATGTGTCTGCACATGCAAGCATATGAAGATGAGGAGGTCAGAGGAGCACTTTCAGGAATCAGCTCTTCCAAACTGAAGCCATCAGATTTGCCAGGGGAGCACTCTTATCAATTGGTCCATCTCCCGTAAAAGACTTTTGAAAACCAACATGAACATCACATTTTAGATTCAAAGTTGAGGTCTTAGCCATGGAGCACATTATACCATTCCACTTAGAAAAGAATATGTAATACCAATTTGTGCATAAGTAAATTAGAGATTAGATGTTTTGTTTAGGGGGGGAGCCTTTTGTTAAAGTGTGTCTTGGTGGATCTCTAAGAAGCCATAACACAAAGTAACTTTTTTAGAGTATTAGTCAAGAACAAAGCTACAAAAAGGTTTCTGTTCAACTCAGCAGGTCAGATTTTATTGCTTTTGGCCAAGGACTGCTGCCAAATTCACAGAGCAGAAAGCTGGTGCAGCCTGATCTGCAGACTGCGTACAAAATTAAGCTCAGTTTCTAAACTCATGCATTTGCCAACCTAGAGTTTTCAAGAGCAAATAATCAGAGCTAGGTAGCATGGAGTTTTTAAAATGTTCATAATGACTTAAGCCAATCTCTTAAAAAGAAAACGAAGTTCACAGAAGCACCTAAACCCCCCCAGTTTTTTTTTCATGATTTTGTTTCTTAAAAATGTATTCTATGAGCATTTCATACATGTGTACAATGAGCTTTGACCATAACTCCTCCCCTACGGTCCCCTTCAACTCTTGTGGCTCCCCTCACCCTAACGCTTCCCACCTCCCACTCCCACCACCACCATTTTTTTTCTCAGTGAACTCTCCAGGCCTAGTTAGTAGTGCTGTCCACTTGTGCATAGGTGTGGGGCATCCCCCAGAGCATTGGTAAATTACCAGACGCCATACTCCAAAAGAAGAATGATCTCCCCCACCCCAGCCCCACTCCCCCAGACTGCCAGCTGCCAGTAAGTAACTCCTCAGTTAGGGAAGGGTCCTTGTTAGCGCCTCCGATCCGTTGGAATTTTAGCCAGCTTAGTCTTCTGCAGGTAGCCGACGCTGCTGTGGGATCATGAGTGGACAGGCCTGTTATGGCTCAGCACTTGGCCTCATCCCCCAGCTCTTAACATTCTTTCCACCTCCTCTACCAAGGTGTTCCTGAGCCCTTGCTGTTGAATTGCCAAATGACATGTATTCATGGTGTGTGTGTGGAGGTCTGAGCACAGTTTGCAGGAGTTGATTCTCCACCGTGCCAGTCCCTGGAATCAGACTCTGTGCTGACCTCGTTAGGTCCACTTCCCCTCTAAGCTGTTTTACCAGACCCTATTCTAGGCTGGGAATGAAACCCTGCACAAAGAGCTTCGGAAGTACCATGTGTGCCTCATGGGTAATAATTACAACTCTAAAATTAGAAACACTCACTTGGGTCTGTTTTTTAAGATGTGTTTTCTATTTATGTGTACATGTGTGGATGTGCACATGCATGCAGGTGCCTACAGAGACCAGAAAAGGGTGTTGGATCCCCTGGAGCTTTGGTTACAAGCACTGAGCTACCTGGCTGGGTGCTGAGATCTGGAAGAGCAGGGAATGTTCTTAAGCATGGAGCAGTCTCTCCAGCCCAGCAATCTTATTTTGAAGAGGGATTTCTTGTATGTTCCCAATGCTATTCAGCAGCCTGTCTTCTTTCCTCTCCTCTCATTTTCTGTTGCTATTATATTTCTGGTCGATTGGCATCTTCCCCTCAGTTTACATCTGGAGTGTTTATAAACAACAAGAACAACAACAACAAATCAAGTTTTTATGTTTCTCTGAGACAGGGTCTTACTCTATAGACCAGGCTGTTTGAAACTGTGTGCAATCCAGATTTAACTTTGAACTCAAAGCAGTCCTCAGCATCTGGAGTGCTGGAATTGCAGGCCTGTACCACCACATCCATTTTATGCAGTGTTGGGAATTGAACCAAGGGCTTCATGCATGCTAGGAAGTACTCCACCAACAGAGAGAGCTATGTCTCCATCCCCAGAAGAAGGCACTGTTAAGCAAGAAAGGACTGGAAGAGGAAGATTATAAAGGTTTTAGCATTGCTAAATTGTGGAAAAAATAAGAAACCTTATTCTGAAGAGGACACCAAGGATATGGTAGGAAACCATCTGATGAAGGGATCAGGGTGTGACTCATGGATGTAATCAGTCATTTCAGCAGAAACCAGAAATAGAAATAGGATAGTATCAGCAAAGATGCTGCTGGCTTGAACTAAGGAGCTCATGGGTGTCTTAGCCTAGAGGCTAGGCCATAGAACTCCTCAGCTTTCAACATGAAAGCTGTTTGTTTAAAAAAAAAAAAAAAAAGCCAGAAAGAAGGTGGTTCAGAGATGGAGAGAGGGCTCCGCAAATTAGAACTTGTGCTGCCCTTCCAGATGATCTGAGTCCAGTTCCCAGCACCCCATTAGGCCGTTCACATTCAGGGGCTCCACACACCTCTGGCATCTGAAGGCACCTGCACACATGCAAACACACCTCTCATAATTTTATAATCTCTTAAAAACAAAAGAGGTGAATCAGAGGTCATTTTCCTAGACCAAATAGCCTCTAATCTTACCATCAAAGACAGGGCCACCCATTCAGAGCTTGGAGCCAAGTTAACCCCTAGAAACCTTAGGAATTGGTTCACCTGGTGTCTGAAGCATTCTCCTCCAACCAGAGAGCTGTGGGAACACTCCCAGTAGTCCCAGAAGGCATAAGATAAAACTAAAATGAATTATCCTTGAGCCTAAGAGTGCAAGAATCTGTTTTCTCTCAGACTTGCTGGGAAACTGTCATCCAGTCCCTAGTCTTCGTCTTTCTGGTTTGGAGTGGAAATGGCTGTCCCATGTTCATCTCATTGCTATATTTTATTTTACTTTATCTTGGATTTCTCGCTCAGTAGACCAGGCTGGCCTGAAACTCAGAGATCCACCTGCCCCTGCCTCCTGAGTGCTGGGACAAAAGGTATACACCACCACTGCCCACCCCACCAGTGTATTTTCGAAGCACATATTTGATGTAGCAGGTTTACATACAGAAAGGAATGCTGCTTCAGAGTAAACTCTACCTCTATCTTACTCGTGTCCAATTCAGATGAAACTGAGCCTTAATGAGGTAAAGTCTGGAATCTTTTGAGGTAGGATAAGTAGTATTTTGCATGTGAGGAAACTGAATTTAGGATCTAGGAACAAAATCCTATTTACTAAATTGTATTACCCTGACTTCATCTGTTCTCAGTTACTTTCCAGCAGCCCCTGCACAGAATGCAGTTAGACGGGGTTAGGCCATTGTCCTGTGAACTGATAGAATGCACAAGTCCATGACAGATGGTCTTTCACATAGCCTGATTTTAATTTAATAAGTCAGACTTATTAAAATGGCATGCTAGCCATCTTGGGGTGCACACCAGTAGACCCTTCATGTTGGGGCTTGAGTGTGGCAGATGTAGGTTGCATGCAGGTTACTGCCAGTTCAGGGCCAGCCTGGTTTACAAAAACTGTTTCAACACACGCACCTGGACGTCACCGCTTCTCCTGTGTGGTGTCCACCAGCCAATGCCATGGACCTGCCAGGCTCTCCTGGAGGCCCTTTGGTCTTTCAGAAGTGCCCAGAGCTATTCCACCATAGTCTGTAGGCTTTTTACTTTATCTGCTCCCAAGAGGGTTGGGCCTCAGAAACAGCAGGCCCTTCTCTCTGCAGCACAGCTTTTGAAGTCACCGAAGCACACACAGTTCCTGGCTTCAGGCATTTTTCTCGGTCCCATGTCCAGGATTACAATCTGCAATGACAGCTTCCAATGTGAGCTGATGGATAGCCAAAACAGGAAGTGCAAACAGTTGCCAGGGTTACTTTTAAGCCCTGGCATGTCTCAGGCTGGTGATACAGCAGTGGCCTGTAAATGGACCTCAGCAGTAGCATGTGGAAGGCCTGGGTTTAGGTCCCAAGGCCTGCACCCCTTAGAAACAACAGGGTGGTCAGAAGACAAAAGAACGTCATAAGACTGTACGTAGGTTAAAATGGGGGTGACATTGATTGAGATGATAGTAAAGAAAAATTTGTCGTCATCTTATGGTTGTATAACTTATTTGTACTAACAGAAAGATCTTTGGTTTTTTGAGAGGGTTTCTCTGTGTAGCCCTAGCTGCCCTTAAACTTACTCTATAAACCAGGCTAGCCTCAAACTTGAAGAGATTCACCTTCTTCTGCTTCCCTTGTGCTAGGATTAAAGGCGTGTATCACCATGCTGATGAAAATTCTGTTTCTAAAAGAAATATTCAAGGAATAAGTGTAGCCTGGGGACTGGGAGGCAAAGAGGGAGGAGCCACGGCCATACAGGAAGCAGAGCCCAGAGCAGTTATCCCACACTTCCCTTTGGACATGCAGTGACTTGGTCAGAAGTGCTCTAAGTTTTACCTTGGCCAGGAAAACTTTCTGTGTCATACACACTGTCAGTGAGACCTAAAGGAGGCTTTGTAATGAAGAGAAAACATTTCAAGGCATCCTCAATGACTTCATAGCTGATAATTAATTAAATTATTGTTTTGTTTTTGATGTTTTGTTTTCTGTAACAAGGTCTCACTGTGCAGCCCTAGTTGGAACTTGCTTTGTTGATCTGTCCTCCTGCTTTTGCTTCAAGTGATAGAATTGTGGATGGAAGCCACCCCACTGCTCAGTTTTTGTTGTTAGCATTTGGTGTTATTGTGTATTTATCTGTGCACACATGCCCTAGGATAATTTTCAGGGGTTGGTTCTGTTCTTTTATTGTGTTGGTCCAATGGATTGAACTTAGGTCATCAGAATTGGTAGCAAACACTTTTATCCATTGTGCCAACCCTCAGTGCTTTGGTTTGCTGTGTGTGTGTGTGTGTGATCTTAAAGATTTATTTTATTTTTAATTATGTGTATGTCTATGTGGGTGTGTGGGTTTGAGTATAGTCGTGTCTATGGAGGTCAGGTGTCAGGTTTCCTGGGAACTAGAGTTACAGGGTCTTATGAGTCATCCACTGTGGGTGCTGGGAACTGAACTTGTGTCCTCTGCAAGAGCAGTACATACTCTAAACCACAGAGACATCCATCTCTCCAGACTATCCCTACCTCACACATACCCACCTGTTTTGAGACACGGTTTCACATTGAAGCCCAGGCTATCCTGGAACTCACCCTATAGCACAGGCTGTTCAAGAAAGCTAGTCTACTTCAGCCTCTCAAGGCTGGCCTTATATGCATAATGCTACCATATCTTGCTCTAAATTTGTATAATATGAATTATAGAGCATTTAGAATTATGAAAACCCAAAATATGTGAAGTTTTATGCTTTCATGGGCAATTCTACACTTGATCTTTGCCAAAAGGCAAAGTTTTACAGGCAGTTTTGACATCAGAGTTTCAGTAGAGTGCATGTTGGCATGCAGGATCCCTGAATTCTGTTCCCAGCCCCAGATAGTGCTGGGCATGGTTGTACATACCCGTAATCCTACCACAAAGAGGCAGAAGCAGAAGCTCAGAGGGTTAAGGTCATCCTCTGCTGCATGATAATGTCATGGTCAGCATGGGTTACAGGAAACTTTGTCCCAGTACCAACACACACACTCGCACACAGAGCTGTCTATAAATCCCTTGCTAAGCACACAAAGTATTTTGCTGTAAGGTATTCTTACAGAAAATTCTTATTTAGTTTATGTCCACCTAGTTCTGAAATAAGAATCTATTACAAATTGGTTTTTAGCTTTTGCTTTTTGAAACTTGAGTATCACCCTAAAGCCCATAATGGTTTAGAACTTATGCAGCCATGCCCATCTTCAAACTTGTGACAATCCTCGGTGTTACCCTTCTGAATGCTGAAATTGGCTCTAAAGGTGTGTGTGTGTGTGTGTGTGTGTGTATTTTAAGATTTATTCTCCACCTCCTAGCAGGGGCAGGGGGTGACAGACACATGCCTTTAATCCACCACAAGAGAAGCAGAGGGAGTCAGATCTCAGAGTTCAAGGCCAGCCTGGTCTGTAGATGTAGAGGGAATTCTAAGACAGTCAGGGTTAAACAGAGAAACCCTATCTCTAAAAGAAAAAAAAGGAAGGAAAGAAAAGATTTCTTCTTTTTTTATTTTATATCTCTGTGTTGTTGTGGGGTACCTACTGAAATCTCCTTGGAGCTAGAGTTCTAGGTGGTTCTGAGCCACCTGAAGTGGGTGGTTGGATCTAAACAGTGGTCCCCTGGAAGAGCAGCAAGTGCTCTTAACCACTGATCCCAAAACTTTATTTCAATTTAAAATGTATCGGTAGTAGTAATAGTGTGTCTCTATGTCTGTGTGCGTGTGTCACAGAAAGCACCTTGGAGGTGGGTTTTGTCATTTTGTGGTAGTTGGGGACTAAACTCATGACTTTGTGCAGCGCTTGCAACCACTGAGCCATTGAGATATGTGTCACATTTGGTTAATTCTTTGAATGTGTACATAATAATTGATTTTAGAAATAACTAAAAATGGGGACTGGAGCCATGCATGGTGGCACGCATCTTTAATCCCAGCTCTCAATGACAGACAACTGCGAGTTTGAGGCCAGCTAAGTCTATAGAGTGAGTTCTATTACAGCCAAGACTACATACCAAGACTTTGACTCAAAAACAAAACAAAGAAAACAACCAGAGGAATGGAATTTGAATCCAAGTCATATGGTTTATAACTGCTTGTCACTCCAGCTCCAGGGGATCTGGTGCTGCCTTCTGACCTCCATAGACACCTGCATACACATGCCAGACACACAGACACCACATAGACACATAAATAAAAATGAAGGATTAGAAATAACTAAAATCACTAAATTTACTTTCACATCTTTATTCTTTATAAAATATCTTCTTTCAGGAACTGAAGTGAAAAAAATTGAAGCTATAAATGTTCCATGCACACAACTTTCAATGTCATTTTTCCAACGGTTATACGATGAAAATATTGTACGAGAAAGTGGACACATTGTCAAGTGCCTAGATGCTTTCTGTGACCCATTTCTCATTTCAGATGAACTGAGAAAAGTAAGTAAAGAATTTTAAAATTCACAGTGGAACTTTATTGAAGGAAATATAAAATATCAAAACCCAATGCCTGAGTAAAACTCTTAAGCTACGTCTAGCTAGTTGATATGACCAGAGATAGCATTTCTTCTCAGTGTATGTACTTCTTGATTTATATCATTCAGTCAGATATGACGGACATGTGATAGTAGACATTTGGAAGACACTTCTTCTCAACAGTAATCTGCCTCAGTATGTCTACAGTTCACAGGTAGAGAAACTCTGACTGATTTAATGAGTAGTTATTGTCTTCTGTAGGAGTCTTTAAATCAAATTCATATTAAGAATATATATGGAAGACTAGTTATAGTGCCACATGCCTGTAATTCTACCACTTAAGCGGTGGAGGCAAGGGATCAGAAGTTCAAGGCTAGCCTGGCCTACATAGTTACAGGCTATTCTGGGCTATATAGCTAGACCTGTCTCAAAAAAAAAAAAAAAACTCCACCAAAGTAAACTAAATACGGAGCTTAGGACATAGTTTTGAGAGTTCTTCGTCTAGTCAGAAGGCAACATCAGACTCCCTGGGGCTGAAGTATGCACAATGCCTTGTGCTTGATCCTTACCACTTCACAAATGTGGCATGGTGACACGTGCCTATTAAACTAGTAGTTTAGGATGGCCTTGACCTTCTGATCCTGTTTCCATCCCCCCAATACTGGGTTTACAGAATGCACCATTACACCATGACCGTGATTGGTTCTCCAAATAAACCTAAGGTTGGTCTGGGAGTGTAGTTAAATGATGGAACATGCACTGTCAGAAACATGACTCTCTGTGTGATCCCCAGTACACAAAAGTACTAAGTTTAAAATACTCATTTTAAATATATATTAAAACTCCCAAAGCTTAAAATCATACCCATAAATTCAATATATTACATTTTATTAAGATGATTTTTTTTAAACCTTAGGTTTTGCTCATGGAAGACTCTGAAAAATATGAAGTCTTCAGCCCAGTGGAGAGGGAAGAGTTCCTGTTCTGTCTTTTTAAGCATCTCTGCCTTGGAGGGTCCCTTTGTCAGTATGAAGATGTGCTAAAGCCATATCTGGATACAGCGAAGCTAATCTATAAGGATCTGGTGAGGTAATGTTCTCACTGTGGAATTCAGTTATAAGCGGCTGGAACCACCCAGTGTGGCTCATTTTCATATTGGCAACAGCTCCAGCCTTTTGTAGCTTGCCTCTGGCTTCCGGAAGCAAGGATTTCATGACTATGGCTTGTTTTTGCTTTTGTTTATTTGTTTGTGGGGTGATTTTTTTCTTCCCAGTGCTGGTATTGAACTCAGGACATTGGACCATAGGCAAGTGTTCTACCATTGAGGTAGCAGCCCTGACTCAGTTCTTGTGTGGTTTGGTTTGTCTTGTCCTGTGAGACAGTTTTAAACTGCAACTCAAGCTGCCTCTCTGTAGTTTAGGCAGTCCCCTGCATCAGCAGCTCAAGTGCTGGTATCCAGTGCCCAGCTCCCCAGACTTAGTCCCCAGTCTTTTCAGTCTTGTCCTTTTCTCATGCAGACCTGTCACTCACTCTGTCCCATCCAGTCCTGTGTTAGCCACTGCATACCCCATCCCTCTCCCTCCACTGGTCCCTCCCTTACTTTTTGAAGCTCAGTTCAAGAGTAAACTATAAACTTGAGCCTGGAGAGATGGCTCAGCACTTAAGAGAGTCCGCTACTTTTCCAAAGGACCCCAACTTGGTCCCAGAACCCACAGGCAGCTTACAACCACCTGTAACTCCAATTCCAGGGCATCTGATGCCTTCTTCTGGTTTCTTTCAGCACTACATTCATGTGGTATACATACATATATGCATAGAAGTGAACTTTTATACACATTAAATATAAAGCAATCTTTATAAAACATAATCTCAAGATTATGAATTGGGGCCATGACTATAATTCCAGCCCTGAAGAAGCAGAGGCATGAGGATCACTAAGGTGCTAGGCTATCATGTTCTACATTCTGATTCCAGGACAGTCAGAGAAACAGAGGCAGCAAAATGTCTTGGCAGGTAAAGGCTCTGGCTGCACTAGCCAAACAAACTGAGCTCCATCCCTGGAAACCCACGGAAAGGAGAAAAGAAGAGATGCCACTATGCTGACCTCAGACCACCACACTGGTGCTGTGGAAAAGAAAGAAAGGAAAAAGAAAACATTTCAGAAAAGCATGCATGTCCATCACAGTCAAGTGTGTTCTGCCCACTTGTAACTCGTGTGAACTCAGGAGACTGAGGTCTTCCTCTCTGCAGCTCACTATGCATGCACACGATACCGCTCTACCGCATTAGCCTGTGGAATGTCTCGCCACCCTGTGCAGTGGAGAAGGGTTCACTGAGATTTGAAACAAACAACTCTGGAACTTAAACACTACAGGAATACTCTTTCCCGTAGACACCTCTTGTAGTCTAATCTGCAACTTCCTCTACATTTTAAAATGGTTCTGTTAGCATATCTTAGTTATACTAATAATGGGTTTCATCAAGACAACTTAATTATAAATGTGTGTAATGTACTTAGATGTATTCCTCTATTGCCCTCGTTTACATTTTTGCGTATTAAAAGTTTTTAAAGACCTGAAGAGTAACAACAATTCATAAAAAGAGCAGGTGAACTGATGACATCTTATTTTTATGATTTATTTGTATGTGTATGTATGTATAAGCCTAGTGAGGGCAGAAGAGGGTGTTGTGTCCCCTGGAGCTGGAGTTACAGGTTATAAGCCACCTGATATGGACTCTGGGAACAGAACCCAGGTCCTCGGCCAGAATGGTGGGTTCTCTGAACCGCTGAGCTAGCTCTCTTCAGCCCCCAGGCTTGTCATATTTTAAATGTGCCTCTGTTTTCCCCATCTTAGTGTTCGGAAACATCCTCGAACCAAGGAAATACAAATTACCTCTTCTGTCTTTAAAGTAAAAGCCTACGTGAGTATTGAGCTTTCATCACAAATACAGTTGCTATCCTTGTGGCTTATGCCATCCACTGTGTGTGTCTGTTATGATGGTGCTAAGTACTTATGAAAATCTAATGTGACAGGGTTCAGCTTCATGGGGAGTCAGGCCAGGAGCCTGCAGTCAGGAAGAGAGAAGCAGAGACTCTGGAGGAACACTACCTACTCTGCTTTACTATTTTGCTCTGAGAGAATAGCCCACTCTACTTTGAGCACTAAGGGTTTTTTCCAGCCCAAAGTTCCAAACTCTTCCCACAGTCCTTCCCAATATGGCATGGTCAGGTCTGTCACAGCAGTAGCCACTAATCCTGGCATCACCTTGTGTGTTCATTTGCTCTCTGCTGTTTTGATGGAGCATGGATCTGAGCCATCTTAGGGAAGAGAGGGTTCTTTGTCTTACAGTCCAGTCCACTGCTGAGGGAAGCTGAGGCCGGAGCTAAAGCACATTCCATAGGAAAGTGCTGCTTACTACCTTGCCCCCTGGCTTGTTCAGCCTGCTGTCTTATGTGATCCAGACCACCTGCCCAGTTTTGGCACTACCACAGTGGGCTAGGTTCCTCCTACATCCATTATTAATGAAGATAATGCCCCACAGACATACTCACACACCAGGCTGATGGAAGTAATCCCTTAAGAGAGATCCTTTCTTCCCGAAGCTAGTCTAGGTTTGGACCAAGTTGACGACAACCAAGCAGCACATGTGGCAGGCACGTATACTCACTGTCTCATTAGTCCATAAAGTGCTTCTCTTAAACTAACAGATGTGGAAAAGTACAAACTTAGAATCCGAGCACTCAGGGGACTGAGGCAGAAGGCCATCAAGCTCTAGTCTAGCCTGGACTACATAATGAAACCCTATCTCAGCACACACACATACACACACACCCTAAATTAAAAAAAAAAAAAAAAAAGCAAGCCAGGCATGGTGGCTCACACCTGTAGTCCAGCACTAAGGCAGTATTGCCATGAGTTTGAGACCAGCCTGGGGCATACAGTTAAATAAAACAGCAAAGACTGCTATAGAAAGTAGCATGGAAAGACTATGATTGGACCACACAATCCTTAAGACCATGAAGTACAGTTGTGATACATGTGTGTAATAGATTTGTACTATTAATAATACTATTGATGGATTATTGCCAATTTTTTATCTAAAATTTTTAATATATGTTTAATGATTTTCTTTGTTTATTGAGACAGACATCTTTTCATGCACTCCAGGCTGGCCTCAAACTCAGTCCTTCTGTCGCAGCCTCAAAGGGCTGGGATTAAAGTTGTGTGCCATTATTCCTGGCTATGTTTCATGATGCTTGGGCTGAAATATGTATGATAGTCAAAAACTTCAGTGTAGTTGAATACTAAATAATGACAGCTTCTCTTTTCAGGACTCTGTTGGTGTGTGCTACCCTTCACCTAAAGAGCATGAGCAGACGTTCTCATATTTCGTTGTGGACCCCATCAAGCGTCATGTGAATGTCCTGTACCATTGCTATGGTGTAGGGGAAATGGCTTAGTAGTGTTTAAGCCATCTGTTATACTGTTCCTTAGTTTGTTGTGTCTGTCTCTGTGTCAGCACTAACAGGTAGATATATGGGCTCTTTGCAGACTAATCGAAGGCCACTGTAAAGAGCCCATTTTGAGCTGAAGAGAGCAAGCACTAAAGTGCCTTTCTCTAAATTTGCCCAGCATGCTCATGCTGGAATCCCAGATAGATCCTCTTCAAAGTAGAAAGTCACAAGTTCATGTTTGTTTTATTAAGATACAGCCACATTCCTAATTTCCTTTTTTTTTTTTTAAATTGTTCTTAGTTTCTTGAGGAAGTGTCTCATGTACCCTAGGATAGGTGAGCCTTGAACTCACTATGTAGCTGAGGCTGATCTTGAACTCCTGACCCTCTTGCCTCTACCTCTTGGGTAATACAAACATGTACCACCAGGCCTGGCTCTATGTATACCCTTTGGGAAGCTAGTTAATTCTGGACTAGAATTGAAACATTAAACATCTCTACGACCAGTCATTAGTGTGAATTAATATGATTTTTTGACTTCAGTTCATGTAATTACATTTTTATCGTTGCAGAAAGGTTTATGTCTTGCTGGCATGATAGTGCATGTCATCAATCCCAGTACTCAGGAGGGAGCAGCATCGGTTCTCTATGAGTTCAAGGCCAGCCTTGTCTACAGAGCAAGTTCTAGGATAGCCAGGGCTACACAGAGAAGCTCTCTCTTGAAAAGAAAAGTAAAACAATATTTATATCTCTACAGATAGGAAAAACATAGAATTCTTTTGCTTCATTTTTCCACTTAAAATCCTCAGTTGAAGATAATTGTAAACTCTTGGGGCTACAGAAATGACTTTGTGATTAAGAACACTAACTGTTCTTCCAGGGAACTCATGTTCAGTTCCCAGCACCCTCAAGGCAGCCCCCAGCTGTCTATAGCTCTCCTTCCAGGGGACCTGACAAAACACCAATGCACATAAAACAAAAATAAATAAATTTTTAAAAATAATTGTAAATTCTTATTATGTAACAAAATAAAACTCTGGCTGCCACACAGTTTCTAACTGATACGTAGTAGTGAGACATACACTATGAGGTATATGGCAGGTGTTGCCGATACTGGAACCCATCGATCTGTGCATGCTAGACAATTACTAATCTACTCACTGTTACATGCCAGCACAAGGTCTAATGGAGGTAGTCTGGCCTCCAGCCTAACGTGTAGCCAAGCATGACCTTGAGCTCTTGGTCCTCCTGCCCCTGCATCCTAAGTGCCAGGTTACAGTTAGTTATAGGCCACCAAGAACTCACTAGTCCTTGAATTTTAATTCTACGATTATTTATTCTGTGACCATGAGGGAACTATGTAAGCTTGCTTTCCTTCATTGCCTTTTCTGTAAAATGGAAGAAATAATAAAACCCTTTCATAAATTATAAAAATTAAAATATACTTCAAATGTACAATGTTGCCAAGTATATAGTTTAAGGCTATACTTATGCTCAATTAGGGAAATACAAATAAAACAAAAACTCAAAACAAAACAAAAAACCTGAGAAGCAAATTATCTGCTAGCCTTCTTGGGGTCAGAATTGCTTTTGTACAGATTACTGTTGCTTAGACAAGCATGTAAGCAAAGGGAGTATTGCTGCATCGCTCCCTGGGTCCAGAGGGTGTGAGCTCCTCAATGAACTGGGATACCAAACTCTCAGTTGTTGTCAGTTTTTAAAATGTGTATTAGCCTGCATTTGTTTCTAAGCACCTTGTGTATACCTATTGCCCAAGGAGGCCAGAAGAGGGTGTCCGGTCACCCACAAGTGGGGCCACGGCCAGTTTAACAGCCATGAGGGTACTGGGAACTGAACCTGGAACCTCTGTAGGAACAGTAAGAGCTCTTCCTGCTGGGCCCTTCTCTAGGGCTTTTTGTACTTCTTGTACTAAACTATTTGGACTAAATTATTTTAATGCACTAATTTATTTTCTATTTACCTCTCATAAAAACAGGGCCTGTGTCTAGTTGTTGTGTTTTATATTAATTTATTTGTTTTATGTGGAGGGTTTGTTTGAGGAAGGGTCTCACAGTAGTTTGGAATTCACTACATAGACCAAACTGGCCTGAAACTTGTATAGTCCTTGTGCTACTGCCTTCAGAGTGCAGGGATGCAGGTGTGTGGTGCCCCAGCAGCAGCAGCCTTGTCTGCTTTATGTTTCCTGGCTGACAGGTCATTTGAGAAGACAAGCTATTCCTTAGAGTGAACTTGTTGAGCACGTGGAGTGAGGCATAGGGTCCTTTAGGAGCAGGGGGCACAAAGACAGAGCCCCTCTCCAGGGCTTATGAGCCTTCCAGCCAGCCATTGTCTACAGACACATCTTAAGCTCTCTGCTCAGTCCTTCCAGTTATCTCCAAAGTGTTTGTTGAAGTTTTTGAACTGTCAGAACCTGTATTTAGCTGTACAGTATGGGGTGGGATATGGAGCCTGGGAACAGGCCTCAGGCCACACGATCCCTGGAAAATAGCAACAGCCTGTAGAAGCCATTTAAAAAAAAAATGCAAGCTGAGTCAACTGAGATTAGAAAGGTTGTCAAGGTTCAGACAGCTGGCCATGTGACAGCAGACATGACCAGTGTCATATGAATGGTATTCTGGGACTTCAAAACATTCTTCAAAAATCCTAGATGCTACTTAAGGAAGAAGATCTCAGAATTATAATTTGGACATTAGATAGAGACGTAGGGAAGGCTGGGAAATGCTGGATGCTATAGTTCCCATGAGCGAAAGTGAAAATACAGGCATAGGCACAGGAGGCTTGGGAAGCTCATGGGCACCTATGAGGGTGCCTGACATGGTAGTGCCTTGTTCAGCACTCTGTGCACATGGAAGGCAGCTTCCTAGGGACCTCCTCACTGAAGCCAGAAATGTCTCATGGTGCTGAGAAATTTCTTGCTCTCATAGGTGTTGTACGTAGCCACCATCGGATGATTGAGTGACATGGTGGCCTCATAAAGTACCTTGCAAAGATTACTCTCCCACTGATGAGCTAAAGAAAGTCCAGAGACCAAAGAGATGCTTGGAGCTGTCAAAGCAGCAGATTGACCAGTTTTAAATTTAGACCAACTACCGGCTGTCATGAGTTAAAAACAGTGAATGAATACTTAGGAAAAACAAATCAGGCTGGGGATGGAGCTCCTTTGGTAGAGTGATTCTTTGCAGGCAAAAACTCCTCAGACACCAGAGAAGTGCAAACAGGAGAATCATTAGTTCAAGGTCATCTGCAGCTAGATGCCGATCTTGAGACCAGCATGGGAGACCAACAAAAATAACAACAAAAAAAGCAAAACCCAGCAACAACATGGAAATGATGGGCCGACAAGATGGCTCTGTGGTGAAAGGTGCTTGCTGATAAGACTGACCCCAGAACCCTAACAGTGTAAGGTGACAACTGTAAGCTGTCCTCTGTCCTCCACACCCTTACCACAGCTCTTGCTTGTCTACTTGTATACAACACACAATAAATGTTAAATCAGGGCTTGAAGCACAGCCCCATGCTAGAGTACTTGCCTGGAGTGTATAAGGTCCTGGGTTCAATCCCAGCACTGTAAAACAAGAAATAGAGTAAGACAAAATCCAGTGTGGCCCAAAAGAGGAAGAGTTAGCAAAATGAATGAATTGTGAGGTGACAGGGCTCTGAGGACCCGGAAGTGGGATCTGTGGGAGGAAGCTGTGGTTAGACAGGGGAAATCCCTTAACCGAGCCCTCCCTTTTTCTTTATTCTCTGGCCTTTATGCTCTGATTCACAGCCCCATGGGCATTGTTCTAAATCATGCTTGACCAGCTTTGGTCCTTCATGTTTTTCAAAACAGGTTTGCAGCTCCTAAAAGCTGGTTGGAGGCTTCTTAAGGAACAACATATCCTAAATTCTCTTACCCAATTAATCACCACTAAATATTACAAACTAATATAGCTGGGTGTGGTGGCACTATAGTCCTAACACTTGGGAAGTGTGAGTTCCAGGCCGGCCTGGGATATAAAGTCAGCCTCTATCTCAAAACAAAATCTTGCACTTGGGAAGTAGAAGCAGGTAGATCTTTGGTAGTTTGAGGCCAGCCTGGACTACAGAGTGAGTTCCAAGACAGCCAGGACTACACAGAGAAATCCTGCCATGCAAAACAAAACAAAAAAAACTAGCATTCATCCTATGGATGTTTCTTATAATTGCCTACTATGTTCTAGCCACGGTCCACATATTATGTATGAATAATATTCTGGAGTGGTGGTTCACAAGTGTAGTCTCAGTACTAGAGAGGTCAAGGCTCATAGAAGGGGTGGTGTTGTTGCAAGTGAGGCCCCCTGTCTGCAGAGCAATGCCTTGACTAAAACCAAAACAATATGGGGCTGGAAAATTGATTCAAAGGTTAGGAGGAATTGCTGGCCTTAAAAGCAACCTGAATGTGGTGCCTAGCACACGTGTGTCAAGCTGCTCACAGCCATCTGGAACTCTAGTTCCGGGGGATCCAATACCCTCTTTGACCTCCCAAGGTAGCTGCATACATGTGCACACATTCACACATTATACATAAATTTTTAAAAAATTTTTCAAAGAATATGCTCTCCTCTTGTTCTGCCCATTCTCTACAAAAAGGTTAAAATTTTAAAGGTACGTTTTTATCTGTGTGTGTGTGTGTGTGTGTGTGTGTGTGTGTGTGTGTGTGTGTGT